TTCGGCAGCATGCACATGATCTCCGTCTTTGGCTCCGATACCATCAGTCCGAACAGGCCGGCCACGCGCACGATGACCGACATCATCTTCTCGAAACTCTACGGCGAGCGCGAGACGATGGCCGCGTCGTCAGCGTAGAGCATGGCCCACAGGGCCTACGCGTCCGTCACCACCGGCGTCTTCTTCCCCGCCGACCTGCCCTTCTTGCCCGTGTACTCCACTTGTGTCCCGATCTTGACCATGTCCGCCGTCACCTTGGGGTCCTTGTCGANCGCAGTACTCTTCTTCCTCGCGAGCTCATGGAGCTATTCGTCAACCCTAAGTGGTATGCCCTTGTTGTCTTGTAGAGATTGTAGTGCTTGATGTTTAGTTGCTTGTTATCTCTCACACCCGGTTGGGGGGAAAGAGCAGGGAATGTCACGCACACGACAGCTGACAGCAGCTGGCGTGGGAGCTCCGTACAATCATTCTCTGGTCGTACTACCCAACGGATACCTATGTGCAGGGCACCTGAAACAGTCATTTCGTCTACAGATCCGACTACATACGCACTCACACGAACAGGAGCCGCTGGATGGCGAACAGCAAGTCGAGCGTCGACCGGTGTGGGCGGAAACCGCTCTGCTCCTCCGGGAGGATGCCCTCTCGCTCGCAGTAGTGGCTCAGTCGTGTAGCGACGACCTTAAGCAGCATCTTGCCGGCGTGTGCGACGAGACAGATGCCCCGGTAGTTGCCGCACTCCATCGTGTTCCCCTTCTTGAACAGCACTTTGATTGTGGCATCCTTCCACTGCTGTGGTGCGTCCCCCGTCTGCCACGCATCCACGACAGTGGCATGGAACGCGCGGAGGAGACCTTGATCTCCGTCCAGGAAAAGCTTGATCAGCTCAGCCGGTAGGTCGTCCAGTCCGACGGCCTTTCTGTTGGCCATTTCCCGTACCGCTTCCTCGACCTCAAGTAGAGATGGGATGTCGTCGAGTGGCACGCACGTGGGCCACCGCTTGACCTTGTCAGCCGCATGCAGGTCGATGGTCGGCGACTTGGTGTTGAGAAGCTTGTGGAACCACCGTGCCCACCGTTGGCGAATAAACGTGGGGTCCCGAAGGACCTTGCCGTCCTCGTCCTTGATGTTCTGAGAGGTGAACGACCTCTTACCTTCGACGTCGATCATCTTCAGGTGCCTGTAGAAACCCGCCTGATCCCCCTCGCGGCTCTTCTTCTCGAGCTGCCGTACATAGCCCTCGAAGAACGTTTCCAGTGCTCTCCACCTCGCGATGCTGCGCTTCTTCCGCGCCGCCTTGAGCATCGCCTTCAGGGTCGCCTCGAAGGCGCTGTTCTTTGAGGCCCCACGCAGTTGCTGCTGGGCCGCATTAACTTTTTAGACGCTTCGGAGATCTCGTGCTGCGCTTCGCTCGTGTACCAGCCCCTCTGCCCTCGTG